ATGGCGGTCCCAAGGGAAGCCATGGCCAGGTGGCCTGAGCCTGGTGTGAGCCTTTGTGCCTGCCCTTAGTGGGTCATCACCCCACACCTCCCCACCTCCAGGCAGCCCCTGGAGGTGCTGAAAGCTGCCTGCAGGCACGGTCCAGGTCCTCGAGGGGGGGTTTCTGTGTGATTTTGGAGTTTTCGGCAGCTGCATTGAGGGGAACCCTGAGCAAATCCCTCCCTCTGCTCTTGGGATAAAGGGACTTTATTTTTCTAAATTTCCAACAAATGGAGTGCAAACCTAGCCCTAGAGAAACGTGCCTCCTTCCCCAGCCTGCCGAGAAGCAGGTCAGGGTTGTAGCTTGGAGGGGATGGTCTTTTCCCCCGGGGACAGCGGCCTGAGCAGGTGCCATCAGGGAAACCAGCTCCTCAGAAGAGCCCCTACGAATCCTGTCTCTGCAAACAGGCTTCAGAGAGTGGCTTATCTCTCCCCCTCTAACGCCTCCTCAGAAATGACGTCCCCCCTTAGCTCCTGCCCACCCCGGGCACTGTATCTCCTCCTGCACCCCCAAACCACTGGCCTTGGAGCAGGTGGCTGCTCTGATATTTGCAGGGGTTTTCCTGCCTCTCCCAAGCCTGCGCCGTGCCTGCAGTCCCGTGGCCTGAAGTGACCAGGAGCAAGGGACTGGGACCAACCTGCCCTTCTGGTAAGCTTCTTACTGTGACATTAAAATGTCCCCCCGCTGAGCAGGAGCACCCATCTCTGCTCTGGGGGGGTTGGGTGGGTGCCTGGAGGGGTTTTCTCTGGCCGGGGGACCAGGTGTGCCTGGGCTTGGGCACTCACCAAGTGCTGAGGACAGAGGTGTGTGCATTCATCATGGGGCTGCCATCGGTAAGGCCCCCTTGTTGGTATTTGGCCAGTGAGATGTCAGGGCTGGAAACCCACTCAGCAGCCCCCATGGGGAGGTGCACGCCCACGGCCTTGTGTGACTTGATGATAGGTGGAAGAGTCCCAGCTGTGTTACCTGGGGTAGTTTTAGGGCTAGCTCTGCCCAGTCACTGGTGGCAAGCCCTTCAGGGACAGTGCTGTTCACTGGGGGAGTCCCGCCGGGTCCCTGGGGAATTTGCTGCCTGGCCAGGTCCCTTTACCTGCCAGGGGCGAGGGCCCCTGAGGAGCCTCTCAAGGCTCCTTGAACTCTCCAGATAAGGGACTTTGCAGCTGGCTGGTGTGAGCAGTTCAAAACACACCGCAGGGCTGGATGCTCCCCCCGCGCCTCCCCCACACCACCCAGCAGCCGAGATAATGGCTGGCGGTGGGTGCTCGGAGCAGGGACAGCCTCCGTAGCTCCTGCTCTGCGGGGAGTTTGCAAGCCTGAAGGCAGAGAGGGTCTAGAGCTGCCTCTCCTTTTGCCCATGGAGGAGTGGAGGGAGCAAGGTGAAGCAAGTCAGAAATGTTGCCCAGGGATCCTCAACCTCTGGGGAGTGAGGGTGCTGCATGGGCTGCCTTGCAGGAGGTTTTTTCTGCCTGCCAAGACCTGGCAATGCAGAGGAGTTTGTCCGCAGGCAGCAAGGCAAGGGAGGAGGCAGAAATGCCCCCATCCTGCTCCCCGACTAAGGTCCCCCCCTCAGGACACAGGTGCAAGCAGCTCTGGGGGGATTGGATGGCGCAGCAAGCCTGTTTGCAGAGAGGCAGGGCTTAGAATAGAGAAGAACAAGAATAATAGGAAGTGCTATCAGCTCTCTGATGAAAACTGCTCACAAAGCACACCAGGAGTACGAAGCCTGCTGCAGACTGTTGGAGGGATGGGGGATCGGAGGAAGAGAGGCCATAGCAGGAAGTCCAGGTGAAGCTTTTGCCTCTCTTCGCTCCAGAAGAGCCCGAGCAGTTTCTTCCACTTCTTTTGGGGGACTCCTCAGAGCATCCAGAGGAAAAGTTATAAAGCAAAAGCTAAACAGCAACAAGTTGCTAGGCTAAGGCGATATTCACCAGAAGGAAAGGGAGGGTGAACTAGCTGGCTGTCACATGTGGCCTCTAGTCATTCATTCACAACTGCCCCAGCCCCCGGGGACTGGGAGGAGGGAAAGATGTGATGTTCATTTCTAAGAAGGGCTGGAGGGACCTTCAGGGAAAAGCTGACTGCTGAATCTGCTGCGTGTCCCTAGTGTCCGAGTGCACAGGGATGGGGTTTATGGGCTGGTGGGGAGGCGCCTGCCGAGGGGCCCCTGAGCTGGGGCAGCGATTCGTAGGGACTCTGGGCTCATGGTGCCCACGCTGCTTCCCACAAAACATTCAGCCAGGGCTTTCAGCCCAGTTTTTAAGGGAACTGGCTGGTCAAGAGGGAAGGTCCTCACATGGTTCCGTCATTGGTACGAAAATAGGAAGGAGGGTGTAGGAGTCAGCGGTCAGTTTTTGCAGTGGAAAGAGATCGCTGCATTGGGTCCCATGTTTTTTCAATGTGTTCATGAGTGACCTGGAAAAGGGAATGAGCAATGAGATGACAGGGCTTGCTGAGGTGATTGGATTACTCAGGTTCATGGGGACAAGTGCCAGCTAGGAAGAGTACAGAAGACCATTACAACACTGGGCAGTAGGCAGATGAAATTCAGTTTAGATAAATATGAAGTGATAGACTGGGGGGGTCGGAGCCCCACATCTGCAAACAAGATTACACAATGAGCCGGCCACTCACAGCAAGGCCTGTGGCTGTTTTGGATAGCTTGGTGTGCATAAAAACACATCGAATCATCTTTGTGAGTGACAAAGCAGGAAAGCCTTGTGCTGCTCTTCAAACTGGCATCTCATCCCTTTGCAGTCACTGTGTGTCCCCAGCCCCAGTGTCTCTGGAAGGGTCGAGGGGAGGCAGGGAGGGCTGGGAGGAAAGCAACAAGGAGGACCAAAGGTGTGGAGCTGTGCCTGGATGACTAAGTAAGCTAGAATTTCTCTGAAAATGTGCTGTAGGGTGGATACAATCCAGGCCTGTAAAGCAGTGGCTGGCATGGAGAAGCCACTCCAATGTTCATCCACCCTTTGACAGCAAGGGTGAGGGAGCCCAGGCTGACACCCTGCACGGGGAGAGATGCTGCCCTCACTCAGAAGCTCCCGAGTTAGAGGGGGAAGCAGGGATTTCACAGAAGCGAAACCTGCTGCGGGCTACAAAACACATGAACAGCATGTCCCTCCCAGCTCGGAGGCTGGGGGAGCAGTCGAGGAGTTAGTATATGACTGTGCCACTCTTACCCAAGCTTTTGAGCAAGACCAGCCTCTGATTTGACCCAGGGTACCTGCCCTTATTTTGGGAGGGCTGGTGTTTGTCCCAGCGCCACGGTAATGGTGCACAATCATGCACACTCATATGTCTTGTGAAATACAAGCACGTGTCTTTGCAGCTTGTGGCTGAAGGTGGAGGCAGGCAGGACGCTGCCCAGGAGGCTGGTTCCCTGGACCCTGGCAGAAGGTAGGAGGACCCGTGAGCGACATGGTTAGAGTTTGGGCATAGACATGAAATCTCATGAAATGGGTGGTCTCGGAGCGTTTCCCATCCTCCAGCTGAGTCACAGCCACCAGGGCTTCATGTGACTCGCTTATTCGTGCCGGGCTTGTTCCCTGCCCGCAGGTAAACCTCGATGGGCCGCCAGATCAGCCTTCCTGACGGGAGGGCACTGGTGTTGCCCAGGGGGGTGAGCGGATGTAGGGGATGGGGTGAAGCCCGGTGAGGCACCTGGCCCTGCCTCATCTTGGCTGTGCTCAGAGGAAGTGCTGACCTTATCCCCACAAAGTGATCCCCTACAAGTGGCAGCTGGAGGACACTGGGTGCTTGCCATTGGGCCTGCTGGCAGCCCCTTGTCTAGGGACTGCAAGGACGGTGCTACACTTGGTGTGGTGTAAAGGACTTTTCTTTAGAGCTGGTATTTCTGGGAATAAACCTATAGCGTGCCTATCTGGCACCATGAAATTTCTCTTGAGTGGAAAGGCAATCAAGCGCTGTGCTCACCTTTGGTGAAGGCAGCAGAAGCAGGAGAAAAGTCAATGCATGGGAAGGGAGAGGTATGGAAATCTCTGAATCCCAGTGACAAATGGCTGCCTGCAGGCGTGGCTGTCCTGCAGTGCAAGTTTTTCTGCAGAGGTTAGGTGGTTTTGGTGACAGGCCTTGGCTGGCAATGGGACTGTGCATGGCCCAACACAGCAGGTGTCACTTGGCATCTCTCAAGGCCTTTGTGTAGTGTGAATGGACAATTAAAGTTGTGCCATCTCTTCTTTGTACCTGCTCAGAGGCCCTAGCCTGTGGTTTGTTAAGCCCACTCTTGCTCCTTCCGCTTACACATGGCTTCCGAGGGGATAAGACAGACTGCTCTATGCCCAGGAACAAAACTGATGTCCTTAAGCCAAGGCCCCGTATTGCTTCTCCTTTTCCCTGTCCCCCAGGCTGTGCAGCCACCAAGCTGGTGGCCAGGCTAAACATCAGCAGACTTCTCCAGGAGGTGGTTAGAGCTGTGGTGGGCCAGCCTGGTGGCTCGAGGGTGGTCTCCATCCCCTGGTCCCTTACAGTAGGGCTGCTGTGGCCAGGTCGGAGCAGGGACCTTTTCTGTTTGTTGTAGGGTTGTTTGTAAGAGCCAGTGGCTGGACGCGTTTCCTGCTCTAATGAGTGCTGACCCGTGCGCCCCTTGGCAGGCACTGGCTCTTTGTGGAAAAAATTAGGAGGCACTTAGTGAAGTGAGACGGAAAACAAACAGAGCAGGCAGGAGGCTGCGGCTGGGCAGCCGGGCAGCGCCCGCCGAGGAGGTCGGGCTCCTGACGCAGGGATGTGGGAGCTCTCTGGACGGAAGCAGGAGGCGGCTGGGAAAGCAGCGTGGCAGAAGAGCACGCAGCGCCCTGCCCCGGCACCCCCCGATCCCCCCCACCTCCTCCCTGCTGCCCCTGGTTCCTGCCACTTGCTCCACGACACTCTTCCCTTCCTCCCGTCCCTGGGTGCTGCAGGCAGGTGCCTGGGCAGCGGGACCCAGGCCGTGTGCCAGCCGTGGTACTTGACACCTCTTGTCCTCCTCTGCGGATGCCACTAGACCCACATGTCTCCAGCCCCCGTGACTTGAGCCAGGGCCTGACACTTACCCCCAAGAGCAGGGGGGTGTGGAAGTGGGGGGACCGTGCTGCCTTCAAATACGCTGAACAGGGGGCTTTCCCTGGCTCCGTCATCCCCAGGTATGTCTGTGGGGTTGGTCCCTGCCCTCGTTTCTTGGGACACCAATGTGACCTTCTGTGGGGGGCTGGGAGGGGGATTGGGGGCTTGGCTCAGCAAGAGGCAGCATGTTGAGGGCTTGCTGGGGACCTGCTGGGGGAGCTGGGCTTCTCCCACCTGTTTGGGGGAGAGATCTGTTCGCTCGGGGACAAGCAGTGGCCCTGGTGGGGTTTCTGTGTGTGAGGGGGTGGCAGTTGCACTTGCAGATCCCCCTGCTAATCCTGGGTCAGGGCTTGGGGCATTTCCTGCCCACAGAAGCACTGGCAGGCTGCCGGGAGGGGATTTTGGGACGTTTTCTCTGGAAGCCCGAGTGGCTCACAAGGTCAAGGGAGGAGCTGTCACACCCTGAGCTGCCTGCATGGGAAGGCAGGGGAGCAGCGCTGAAGATGGCTCCGGTGTCATGGGCTGGCGCCTGCCGGGTTGGGGCTTTCGGTCCCACACAGACGTACCTGTCAGTCTGCTCTGGCTTTTCCAAGCAGCCAGCGGGCGTCCCAAATCCCTCTCCACATCCTGCCAGCTATGTTTTGGCTCCGTCATAGCTGTAGGCTCCCCAGCCTGCAGGACCACACCAGGGGAGGAGGTGAGCTGTGCCCAGAACCACGCGAGCACCTGCGACAAGGGATGGGCTCCGCTGCCTTTAATGCACGCCGGGGCTGGCAGGGACTACAGATCCCAGCATGCTGCTTCCTGCCTGCCTCCTCCCACGCCCTACCTGGCAGGGTGCAGGCAGGGATGCTGTAGCTGGCAGCAATGCTGGCAGCTCAGGGGCATGCCCCGGGGGGGCCAGGGGCTCAGCACCGGGAGCCCCACTGCAGATGAAGCCCTGGGAGAGGTGCTGGAGCACCCCATGCTGCGCAGCCCGGACTGGAAAAGGACAAGGCAGGCCTGTGGCTTCTCCGGGGTGGCTAATCCCGCTCTGCCCAAGGAAGGGGGGGTGGACTGGGGAGGGAAGGTCCCTTCTCCGGGCTCCCTGGGCTGCTTCTCTGGGGCTGTCTGCGGGGGGAGCAACACCAGGGCGGTGGCAGGGGCTGGGTAGGTGGTGATGGGGGGGAAAAAGAGCAGTGGGCACTGGGGACGGAACAGCAGTGCCAGGGATGCCCTTGGCTTTCCAAGGTGACCCAGGAAAGGGCTGTGACAGCCCCAGGGAAGCGGGAATTGGAAATGGGGGGTTTGCATGGTCCTGGCTGGAGAGACTGCTGAATTAAATGGGTCTTTTGTGCCGCCGTGCCTGGGTGTTGGAGGGAGGTGGGGAGGGCAGGGGGGATGTGCGCATATGCTTTGCTCACAGCCCCAGGATTGGGGGCAGAGAGCTGCAGGCTCACAAATCCTTTAAGAACCTGCTGCGGAGCAGGCGGGCAGTTGGCACCGAGCAGCCTGGGCGTCTCAGGAAAGTGGTTTCCCTTTTGGAGGGAAGGCTGGTGTCCCCCAGCCAGCAGAATAAGGTTGTGTGTCACAGCTCCTCAGCTTAAGGACTCTGAGCTGCAGGTTTCCAAAGCTGCTGCGCTGCGCTCTCACCAGTTGCCGGCTCTGTTTGGCTCCCAGTGCTGTGGAGCACTTGCCCAGCAGCACAGCCAGGGGCTTAAAATCAGCACTGCCACTGCCTGGCCTGCATCCCTCACTCCTCTGTAAAATCCTCTGTTTGCTTTCCAGACGGAGAGCAGCCACAAGACTTGCTGGGACCTGTGCTGACTCTTGCCGCACAAGATGACAGCAAGAGACGGGCCCCAAGATAGGTAATGCCGGGCTCTGGTGTAGGTGTTGGGGCACATCCAGGATACCAGGAGGTGAGGGAGGACAGGGGGACCCAGCATCTGGGGGACTCCCTCTCCTGCATGGTCACTGGGCTACCGAGCTGTCCCTTCCCTGAAATGCTCTCTCTGTCACCTTTTCCATAGCAAACAGGCTGTAAACAGTCCCTGGCACTGGGACACGCCTGGGGAGCGTGACTCCCTCCCAGCTCTGCCACATGCTGAGGAGCAGCCAGCCTGCCCCTGCCTTTGTACCCTCCCAGGGAGGGCCTCCCATGGCCCCTCTGCAGTGCCACATCTCCTGGCAGCCCAGGCTAGCAGGGGCTGTGGGGCAGGGACAGGGCAATAAATTTCATCCACCCTCCTCCTCCTGGTGCCTTCCACTGCGGAGACGGGGACAGTCAGAAGCAATGCCTGTCCCCTGCCCTGCCCAGTGTCCCGCTCCAAACCGCTGTGTCCCCTCCACAGGTACAAGGCTGTCTGGCTGATCTTCTTCATCCTTGGTCTGGGAACGCTGCTGCCATGGAATTTCTTCATGACCGCCAGGGAGGTGAGGGCTTCCCTCCTGCTGCTGCCCATGACACTAATCGTCCCCTATCACATCTAGGGACCATGGTGTAGGTGTGGCAGCACAGCACAGCATAGAGCCCCCTCATTTGCACGCAGGAGGTAGAAGCGTGGGTGACCTGGGTGGGATGAGTGGCGCTGAGGTGGCAGGAGGGCTGGGCATGGGGTTGGAGGGGAGACAAGGGTGGCCTGAGTGTGCTGGGGGGAGGTCTTGCAGCACCTCGGCCCCACCGTGCCATTTCTCTCGCAGTATTTCATCAGCCGCCTCGCAGACCCGGAGGAGATGAGCAGCTTCTGGAACCAGACCAGTGAGGCTGCCTTGTCCCCCTCCTACCTGCAGTCCATGTTTGATAACTTCATGACTCTCTGCGCCATGGTGCCCCTCCTCATCTTCACCTGCCTCAACTCCTTCATCCATCAGCGGTGAGCCTTGCCCCATCCTTGCCCCTACTAGCCCCCATAGGGCCACCCAGCCCTGGCCCGTCCTCCTGCCCCAGCACTGGGTGAAGCTGCAGCCTGTTCAGTCAAGTCAAAGGCAAAAACATTGGTCTCCTGTGCTGTGGTTTGGCTGGGATGCCCATGGCAGAGCTTGGCGTCAGCCTCGCATGCTTTTGGGGGGTGGGTTTTCCTCACTGAGACCCTCTCTTACAGGATTCCCCAGCAGATCCGCATCTTGGGCAGCCTGGTGGCCATTGGGCTGGTGTTTTTAGTTACTGCGATTATGGTGAAGGTCGCCATGAAGCCTCTTCCCTTCTTCGTGTTTACCATGATCAGCATCATCCTCATCAACTGTGAGTGAGGCAGTGGAGGGAAGGAAAGGGGCACAGCCCCATCACTAGGGCTGATGTCTCTGGGAGAAAAGCATGAACCTCACTGCGGGAGAGCCAAGGAGGAGGGGGAATTGCCTTGCCTCACAGGGCAGGAGCCTTGGCTCCCCGCAGAGGTGCAGTCCATCGTTGCCTTTGGTTTCTCATTTCTGCTCATCTTTCCCGTTCGCAGCCTTTGGCGCCATCCTCCAAAGCAGCCTCTTTGGGCTGGCAGGGCTCCTGCCTGCCAGCTACACAGCTCCCGTCATGAGTGGGCAGGGCTTGGCAGGCACCTTTGCCGCTTTGGCAATGATCTTCAGTATTGCCAGTGAGTAATCCCTGCCTTGCAGGTGACAGGGCCTTCCCAGAGCACTGCTGTCAGCAGGATCTGCTGGGGTCATGCTGTAGGGTGGGAGATGGCAGTGGGGCCTCGCTTCTCTCAGCCCTCATCATCTCCTTCCTTTTCCCCCCCATCTCCTCCCTTCCTGTGCTCCCAGTTGGCGCCCAGCAACCTGAGAGCTTCATCGGTTACTTCACCACGGCCTGTGTGGCGATCATGCTGGCAATCTTCTCCTACATCCTTCTGCCTCGCATGGTGAGCCTTTGTTGTCCTGGTGGGGAAGGGTGTGGGGACATGGGACCTTTGCACATCACAGCAGAAGGACTGTGGCTCACTAGCACCCCAGCCTTGGCTCCTACCAGTCTCCACCTCCTGGATCAGGGCAAGCTCTCCCATGTCCCGAGGGAGCTCTCTGGGATATTTCCCACCTCAGATACTCCAGTACCCTTGGGGTACTGTGGAAATGAGTCCCTGGGTGAGCAGGAAAGCATCAATATCAGACATATTTTGCCCATATTGCATTTGCCCATATTGCCCATATCTGCTATTACCACGCAGCCCCTGGTAGCCTTCTTTCCTCATGCATGAATGAGTTCTCCATGGCTGTCTCTCTGCAGGATTTCTTCCGATACTACTCCATGAAGGACAAGACAGAGTACCGTGTGTACAATGCAGAGCTGGAGACCAAGAGAGACCTGATTAAGAAAGGTGAGGGGCTGAGAGGAGGAAGAGGAAGGAAAAAGAGGAAGAGCTGAGAGGAAGAATGAGACAGCAGGACTAAATTCAATCTCAGCTTTCTGGGGTTTGCTATGCCCTACTTGTGTCTTTCCTTGCAGATGAGCCCAATGGGATGGAGCAGAATAACTCAAAGATCATCCCTATCCACAACCCTGATGAGAAGCCCTCAGTCATTGCTATTTTTAAGAAGGTCTGTGAGTTGCCAGCAACCCCTGCCCTGCCCCTCACATCAGGGGATGGGCACAGAGGAGAGCATGGGGAGAGGAGACCAGCCTTGCACTGGTCTCTTGCCCTGTGTTTGGTACCAGCCTCTTTCTTTCATCTGCCTAGCTCTGGGTCATGGCTGTGTCTGTCTGCTTTGTCTTCACTGTCACCATCAGCGTCTTTCCTTCCATCACAGCTAAGGCGTCCACTGTCCTCGGAGAAGGAAACAGATGGGGTAAGTGTGGCCAGAGATGGGGTGCAGTAGGAGGAAACTGAAAACAAGGTAAATGGGAGAAAAGAAAGTGGGGCTTGAAGTAGTAGGTATGTGTGGTGGTGGGTTGACCCTGGCTGGACTCCAGGTGCCCACCAAAGTTGCTGTATCACTCCCTTCCTCAGCTGGACAGGCGAGAGAAAATATAATGAAAGGCTCGTGAGTCAAGATAAGGACAGGGAGAGATCACTCACCAATTACCGTCACAGGCAAAACAGACTCGATTTGGGGAAAATTAATTTAATTTATTGCCAATCAAATCAGAGTAGGATAATGAGAAATAAAAACTAAATCTTAAAACACTTTCCCCCCACCGCTCCCTTCTTCCTGGCTCAACTCCACTCCTGATTTTCTTGACCTCCTCCTTCCAGTGGCACAGGAGGACTGGGACTGGGGGTTGCGGTCAGTTCATCACACACTGTCTCTGCCGATCCTTCCTCCTCAGGAGGAGGACTCCTCACTCTTCCCCTGCTCCAGCGTGAGGTCCCTCCCATAGGAGACAGTCCTCCACGAACTTCTCCAACGTGAGTTCTTTCCACAGGCTGCAGTTCTTCATGAACTGTTCCAACATGGGTCCCTTCCACAGGGTTCAGTCCTTCAGGAACAGACTGCTCCAGCATGGGTCCCCTGTGGGGTAACAAGTCCTGCCAGCAAACCTGCTCCAGTGTGGGCTTTCCACAGGGTCACAGCCTCCTTTGGGCACCCACCTGCTCCAGTGTGGGGTCCTCCACGGGCTGCAGGTCGATACCTGCTCCACCATGGACCTCCATGGGTTGCAGGGGGACAGCCTGCCTCACCATGGTCTTCCCCATGGGCTGCAGGGGAATCTCTGCTCCGGTGCCTGGAGCACCTCCTCCCCCTCCTTCTTCACTGACCTTGGGGTCTGCAGGGTTGTTTCTCTTACATGTTCTCCCTCCTCTCCCTGGCTGCAGTTTCTGTGCCTGTTGCAACTTTTTTCCTTTCTTAAATATGTTATCACAGAGGCGCTACCACTATCGCTGATGGGCTCAGTCTTGGCCGGCGGCGGGGCTGTCTTATTGCTGGCTGGTATTTGCTCTGTCGGACATAGTGGAAGCTTCTAGCAGCTTCTCACAGAAGCCACTCCTGTAGGTCCCCCACTACCAAAACCTTGCCACACAAATCCAATACAGCATGCCTGAGGGGAAGAGGAAACCACTGTGCATGATGGTTCGGATGCAGACACTGGCCTGGCTGGGAGACCATTCCAGCCCTTAGTGGGAAACCAGGAGGACCTAGACCTGAAAGACAGTCTCCGTGCAGTTGGTGGGAGGCCCTGGGTCACCCTGGGCTCGTCAGTGACCTTCTCCCCCTTCTGCAGGTCTCTACTTCATCCCTGTCTCCTGCTTCCTCCTCTTTAATATCTTTGACTGGACGGGACGGAGTCTCACTGCTCTCTTCACATGGGTAAGCATGGGGCAGGGAGCAAACGCCCAGGCAGTCTCCATCCCCAGGCCCCTTTGCGACAGCTGCAATTGGGGCTGCCATCCATGGCTTGGAGCAGGAAGGAGGTGCAGAGATGATTCCTGCCTTGGCTTTAAGTCCTAAGCAGAGATTTATGGGTCAGAGCCGAGAACCACAATGTTGTCCTGTCCTCCTCCTACCTCTCTTTCAGCACAGCTTGGATGAAGCTGCCTCCTCCATTTCAGCCTCTTTGTAAACAAACCTTCACTCCAGCTATGCAAACAGTGAGACGGGATGGCGGCAGGGAAAAAGGGTGAAAGACAGGGCAGCCTAAAATAAAACCTCTGGCCTTGGCACAGGACACAGATGCTTTAAAGAGCCTTGTCCTGGGAGCAGGGCAGAGCAATGCCATGTGGGTCCCAGAGCTGTCCCCTACTGTGTCTCCTCGCTCTCATCTCCCCTGCTCAGAGCTGCTGGGGCTGAGTGATGGGAGCTGTGATGGGGGTGGGTGAGGAAGGGGGCTGTCCCATCTGTCTCTTCCTGCTCCTTCACCCACCCTCCAAGTGCCGTTTTCCCCATATTGTTCAGGCTGTTTGTCTAGAGAAGCTCCTCAGCACCATGTGCTGTGGGGTCTGTCCAGGCCTGGCTTCCCCACAGCCTGGAGCTGCTTCTGCCCTGGCCATCACTGCTGGTGCCCTTGGCCTTGGCCATGAGCCTCATTGCCTGGTGTCCAGGCTGCAGCCTCTGTGGTGGGATGACCCAAGAGTAGATGTTTCCAAAACAAGGCTGTGTGGAAAGTCTGACTGCCTGCGGTTTTGGCCTCATTTCCCTGGTTGGGGCCCCGCTCGCTCCTTTTCTCCTCCGCAAGCAGGAGAGGCTGCTGCTCTTGCCAGTTTGCCCACAGACATGGCAGCTGGCCTAACCTCAGCTTCCCCCTGTGCTCATGAAGTGTCCCATGGCTATGGCAGCCCAGCAGCTCCCAAGGCAGCTGTGTGTCTCTCCTGACCCCAGACCAGTGAGCCCTGTCATCTGTGAACCTGGCACCTCATCGAGGGGACCCTAGATGGAGCCGGGCACGTCTTGTACCGGGGCCTGCCTCGGTCCTAGTTGCAGGGACAACACAGGGGGACGATGCCTCCTTCTTTGGCCCAGCCTCACGTCAGGGACTCTGTTAGGATCCGAGGAGACCGTAACTTGGTCTGTGCCTTTCCCAGCACTGTCCAAAACAGCCCCAGCATAATCCCTTTCCCAGATTGCTGGATGTTGCCCCACTTGGCTGGCGGAAGGTGTAGGAGGCTGAAGAGCTGGTTAAAGCCCAGTTTGCAGGCCCTGAGGTGCCAGAGGGGATTTACCTCAGCCAGCCTTGTCCTGCATGGTGGTTCGCTGCAGGAGATTGCGTGAGTGTGCACAAGGCTCTCCTGCCTGCCTGTTGTTTCCAGCAAGGGTTTAGCAGTTGCTCAAAAGCTCAGCTCGGTATTTTGGCTCTAGTGCTGCTGCTGTCCAAGTCGGCTGGGATAGGACTTTCAGACCTAGTAGGACCCCCTTACTAGAGCAGGTGGTGATGCTGAGATTTGTTGCAGCAGAGAAAGTCTCTCAGCAACTTTGCCATCTCTGTGGCTCCTCTGCAGCCCTGGTGCAGCAAGGACAGCCTCTGTATAGCCCCTGCCAGCATGCCGTGGGATGGGGAATGGCCACTTCTCACTGCTCAGTGACCTGTGTTTTTCTCCCAGCCTGGGAAGGACAGCTGCCTCCTGCCAGTGATGGTGGCCCTCCGTGTTATATTTATCCCTCTTTTCATGCTGTGCAACGTGCACCCCCGTGACTACCTGCCTGTCATATTCTCTCATGACGCCTGGTTCATCATCTTTATGATCTTCTTCTCCATCTCCAATGGTTACCTGGCCAGCCTTTGCATGTGCTTCGGGCCCAAGTAAGTAAGAGCTGGGGACAGAGGAAGCGTTGGTTACACCCCCAGATGCTAGCCCCAGCATGACTCTTGGAGTCTGGCTCTGCCCAGCTCTGTCATCTGGAGAAGGGGATGCAGGCACACCACCTCAGGGAAGACAACCCCAGTGTCCTATCTCCCAGCCTTGTGCCTCCATATCCTAGAGATGAGGAAGCTATTGTTTGGGCTCTCCATTTCCCCCACCTGCCATGCTGGGGAAGGGGCTGGACACAGCGGGGATCTGGAGGGGAGCAAAGTGTGGCACAGCACCCACAGCAGGGTGAGCAGCCCTGCCTGGCGCAGGAGCACAGGCAGCATGAGGAGCCCAGCTGGGGCTCAGCCAGGCAGGCAGCAGTACATGGGGGCAGGAGTCAGGGAAGGGTGTCCATGGTGCCAGGAGCTTCAGGGCAGCCTGGCTGATGCACTTTTTCTTTCTTTACGAGCCTGTAATGTGGAGGCAGGCTCTTGGAGCCAAGGTGGATTTGCTCTTGCTGTTCCTCTGCTGCAGAGGAGCACAGCTTCTGGCTCCTCTGTGGCCTCCTCCCAGCTCTCTGTTGAACTCACAGCAGGGCATGGGGCACGCATCCCCAAGGATGGGTCTGACACCTGTTTCTCCCCTAGGAAAGTGCTTGCCCAAGAAGCAGAGACAGCTGGAGCCATCATGGCCTTTTTCCTGTCGCTCGGCTTGGCCCTAGGAGCTGCTGTCTCCTTTCTGTTCCGAATTCTCATCTAGCAGAGGCACCTGGAGGGTGCAGGAACACCGAGAGATGGCTCTACATCCTCCTCCAAGGCCCTGGACACCTTGGCGCTGTGGGGAGATGAACACCTCACGCCTGCCCCTGCCAAATTGCACTGCCACGGCGGACATTAGACCCAGGGACAGTTCCACTCCTGCAGGGTTGGCCTGGCTCCTGCCATGCTCGGATGTGTGATGCCTTCAGGCCTATGTGCCTTCTTCTTCCCCATGCTGTGTGTAAGACCCCCCCGGATCTCACAGAGGTCCAGCTGCCTCCCACGCTGTACAATTTCCCCAGCTCAAGGCCAAAAGCCATTCTCAGCCTCCTCCTCTCTGACAGAGTTGAAGGCTGGTATCCAGTGTTACTCCCTCTCTTGTCCTTGTCCCAAAGATGCCTAGGGACTTGCTCTCGTCTCCTTCCTTCCAGGGGGCCTCAACACTTCTTCTGCTGGTGAGACTTGTAAACAGGGAGGAGAGCCCCAGCCAGCCTCACCATACCTGCTCTCTGCTAGGCGCACATCTCCCTGCCCAGCAGTATCCCAGGGACATAGACATCTGTGTCCTCCCCACATAGAGAGCCAACACCATGGCTAGGCTGCGGGAGGAGGAGGTCTCCACCCCCCACCTTCTCCCCCTCTTCTTGCCTTTGTTCCCTACTTTTTTTTTTGTGTGTGTGTGATTCTGCCATTGTTTTTCTGCCTCCTGGTTGTGTGACCGGAGGTTCCCATTGTGGACTGCGAGAGGCAGCAACTCCCTTCCCAGCCAGGCTGCCTTCCCTGCCCACCTGTGCTGCAGGGGGAGGCCTGACCTCTCCCTTCGCTTTCCCATCCCTTGTCTGTGTAAATCTGTCTGTACAGTTGCCATTTTCTATAAAAAGACCAAAACGTCCCTTTGGATATGCGTGTGTCTCCATCGCCACGGGGGAGAGGGCTGCAGAGGGGCAAGGGCTGAAGGGAGTGGGCACCGGCACTTCAGTAGCCGGCATCAGGCAGCGAAGCCGCGTGTGCATCCGCTGCAGAGACAGGCCCAGCGCCTCTCCGCTACGGGGACACGGCCAGCATGGGAAGGGAGTACGCCAAGGGACCACCAGCACCTCTGGTAAGGAAGGGATGCACCTGCGTATTTTGGGGTGCAGTGACCTGCAGCACATGCACCTGGGAGCTTTCCTTGTGCCTGGGAACGGCCGGAGTGCCACCTCCTGCTCCTGGGCGGGAACTACACCACCCTGCCCGCGGGCCTCCGCCCCACACACCACCCCTCTGCCCCCCAGTCATTCACAGCCATCACCCCGCCCCCCGGCACCCACGGCCAAAAGGTGTGGAGCCCCGGCCCCTTCATCCCAACCCCGGTCAGGCCTGCGTGCCCACAGCCTCAGCAGGGCGGACACGGCATGAGCTTTATCGTATTGCCCTTAGACGCTAAAAATACAGCGTACCCAAACACAGGTTTCCAACGAGGAAAACGAGCCTGCGTTGGTCTCAGGCTCCGACACGACCCCTACAGCCCGCCCCCGCCTCCAGAGCCGGTCGCCTCCATCTTGTCCCCTCCGCATCCGCAGGGCCCCTGGTTACACAGGGCCCCCAGCTGCAGAACGGCAGAGCTACGCGGCTCTCGGAGGAACCGCAACGTGGAGCTAAGACAGCAGGCAGCCTCTGGGGCGATGCGGATCCCCGGTTCCCTGCCTGGGCCCGGAGCCTGCGGCCCGGGGAAACCGCGGAGGCACCGCCCTGACCGCTCTGGAACCCTCTGGAAATTGCTTTGCACTGCTGCCGCCCCCTGTGCCCCTCCGCTTGCCGGTCGCGGGAAATAGTCCCCTACGGCGACGGGGAGTCGCGACCGGGAGCGGTCCCGGTAACGGCATGGGGCTGAGAGATGTGCGCCCGCCTCCACCATAGCCGCCGCCGTTAAACGGCAACGGTGATGGGGCCCATAAGGAGTCCTGCCGCATCGCCCAGGCCAGGGAAGCAGCAGCGAGAACGCCCCACAGAGGCTGCAGCCAGGGTGGAGAGGGCGACTGCGCTAGGCGAGGCCCATAGGGAGGCGTGCTCATAAGGGAGGTGGGAGCCGGAATACTGTAGCGGGGACCACCGCCGTTTTAAGGCGGAAGGAGACGGTGAGCGGTGAGGCGCCGCCCCCCCCTTGCCTATAAAAGCCGGCCATGGAGGGCGTATAGCTCTTCCGCTGGTCGTTCACGCCCGGCGCGGTGAGGATCCTGCGCTGGGCCCGGTGGCCCTGCTGCCCGCCCCAGCTTCTCCCAACCCCGCCCCGGTGGTAACGGCCTGTGCTTGCCTTGCAGATGCCTGAGGAGGTGCAGCACGAGGAAGAGGATGTGGAGACCTTCGCCTTCCAGGCGGAGATCGCCCAGCTCATGTCACTCATCATCAACACCTTCTATTCCAACAAGGAGATCTTCCTGCGGGAGCTCATCTCCAACGCCTCCGACGTGAGCCCGGGCCCTGCTCGCCCCTGCGGGGGCAGTCTCCTTCCTCTGCTGGGGGGCTCAGGGGGAGGCTGATGTCCCGCCGGCGGTGCCCAGGGAGAGGCCGGTGCCTGGGGTGGTGGCCTACGAGGCTTGTGCTGGGGGAGGGAGGCAGCTTTTGAGGAGGGAGGCCGTGGCGAGCATCACCCTCTCCCTTAGGCACTGGATAAGATCCGCTATGAGAGCCTGACTGATCCCTCAAAGCTAGACAGCGGTAAGGACCTCAAGATTGACATAGTCCCCAACCCCCGGGACCGCACGCTCACCCTGGTGGACACTGGCATCGGGATGACAAAAGCAGACCTCATCAACAACCTAGGCACTATTGCTAAATCTGGTACCAAAGCCTTTATGGAAGCCCTGCAGGTGGGTTGCCTTTGGCTGCATGGGTTCCCCAGGGCCTGGGCCCCAGGCTTTCACTGGGTTATAGCTCCAGCCCTGCTGCCTTTTTTGCTGTGGTAGCTGTTGGCCTACCTGAGTGTGCTTCCCCACCTTACCAGCAGCAGGGTGGAGCTGAGGGTAGGGCTGGCTGCCTGTTGGCACTTGCCTCTTTTTGCCTGCATGCTGACCCAGTTCCTTGCTGCTGTGAATCAGTTGCAGACATATTCTGTCTTTTCACTGGTCTATCAGTCTTTCTCTGCCTTTGCAGGCTGGCGCAGACATTTCCATGATCGGGCAGTTTGGTGTGGGTTTCTATTCTGCCTATCTAGTGGCTGAGAAGGTGGTTGTCATTACCAAACACAATGATGATGAGCAGTATGCTTGGGAGTCATCAGCTGGGGGCTCCTTCACTGTCCGAACTGACCATGGTACGTGTTGTACAAAACCCTAAGTGTATTTCTCTGCTAGAAGCACCCCGTTTGCTGGTGCTCCCTAGAGCTGTGCTGTGTTGTCAGGTACGCTTGTTAATGTAAGGTATTGAGTAGTGTTTAGGCTCAAGGAGCTGGTCCCACTTGCTTTCTGCCCTTTAACGCTATGCCCTGGGATGCTAATGTTTCTCTCCCCACATTGTAGGTGAGCCCATTGGAAGGGGCACCAAAGTGATCCTGTATTTGAAGGAGGACCAGACAGAGTACTTGGAGGAGCGGCGTGTCAAAGAGGTGGTGAAGAAGCACTCCCAGTTCATTGGCTACCCCATCACACTCTATGTATGTAAGGGAAGAACTGTGGGGACCCACTGAAAAGCTGGAGGCAGGGGTGGGTGTTATTGGGAGCAGGAGCCCAGAAAAGAGCAGAGTACAGTCTTTTCTGTTCCCTTCTGTAGCTCCTGGCTGCTGGGTATTGAGCAGTGGTGCTCCTAGCTTCTGTGGCCAGAGGTGATTTGAGGCTAGGGGCTCATTGGAGGTGAAAGGTGGTGGGTATCCAGCCATGTTTTTGGTCTTTGATCTGTGCAGCTGGGGGTCATCTACAACCAGCCATGGAGGCAGGAGGGTTTTCTGCCCCTTGTCTCATCTTCAGACACAGGTTTTGGTTCCATGAGCTGTGGAGTGACTTTTGAGGGCTGGTTTCAGGAGAAGCCCTGGTTCTAGATGTTACATTTGTTGGGCCTTGGAGGACACCCATTTCTTTCATCTGGAGCAAAAGGATTCCTGGTAACAGTTGCTTGGGGCTGAACCCGACTCTTCTTTCTCTCTTTCTCCACAGCTGGAGAAGGAGCGTGAGAAAGAGATCAGTGATGATGAGACAGAGGAGGAAAAAGATGAGAAGGAAGAGGAAGAGTCAATGTCCAAAGATGAGGAGAAACCCAAAATCGAGGATGTGGGCTCTGATGATGATGATGAGGGAGACAAAGGCAAGAAGAAAAAGACCAAGAAAATCAAGGAGAAATATATTGACCAGGAGGAGCTGAACAAGACCAAGCCTATTTGGACTCGCAACCCTGATGACATCACCCAGGAGGAGTATGGCGAGTTCTACAAAAGCCTCACCAATGACTGGGAGGACCACCTGGCTGTCAAGGTGGGTGCTGGGCCACCCTGGCTTGCAGAGAGACAGAGGGCACCTTTCTAGCCCATACTTAGAGCCACCATGTGGTTGTGCCTCAGTGGGACTGAAGGCTCCCGGGCCACTTGGTGGTGCCTCAGCTTGCACTGCAACTCCTGTGCAAGTGGGAGGGTTGGCAGTGCCAGCCTAGAAGCAGAACAGGAGGGTGTTGGGCCTCAGAGAAGCATGACTTTTCCATCCAGGCCTGCTGGATGCCAGAGACCCCTGGCGTGTGGGGGGTAGTGGGACTGAGAAGGGGGAAATGCAGGCTGCTTGGATGCTAGAGACCCTGCTGTGCCCCCTGCCAGCCCCAGTGCTGAGGAACAGCAGTTCAGCATGCCCAGAGTGGGTTCTGGGGGAAGGGGTAGAAGGGAAGCACCCTGGCAGCTGTTTTTCCTTCCTGGCTCCGCAGCACTTTTCTGTGGAAGGGCAGCTGGAGTTCAGGGCCCTGCTCTTCATCCCACGCCGTGCCCCTTTTGACCTCTTTGAGAACAAGAAGAAGAAGAATAACATTAAGCTGTATGTGAGACGTGTCTTCATCATGGACAGCTGTGATGAGCTCATCCCTGAGTACCTAAGTAAGAGCCCCCCTGCCTTAGCTTCTCAGTGCAGAGCCTGGGACCCTCACAGCCTGTGGTACTGCTCCCAGTACAAAGCGGCTGGATGAGGCACTAGCTGGTGTGGGCGCACAGCAGTCAGTGTCTTAGTGCTTTTCCTCCTGTCATGAAGCTCAGAGCTTTTAACCTGACTCCTGTTTTCATTTCTGCTACTCAGACTTCATCCGGGGTGTTGTGGACTCAGAGGACCTGCCTCTGAACATCTCTCGTGAGATGCTCCAGCAGAGCAAGATCCTCAAGGTGATCCGCAAAAACATTGTGAAGAAATGTTTGGAGCTCTTCTCTGAGCTGGCAGAGGACAAAGAGAACTACAAGAAATTTTATGAGGCCTTTTCCAAGAATCTGAAGGTGAGCTGGGTACTGTGCACGTGTAGAAGGGAGGGGCCCATGACCTGTCTGCCTGAGGAGCAATTTGTCCCTGTGCCATGTCTTCTCTGCATGGGTGTTAGGGTAGAGGGGGTCTTGCGAGCGCCCCAGAGAGCCGTTGTGGGCAGCTGGCCCCTCTGGCTGCCCTAGGCCCAACACTCAAATGATCAGGGGGTGGGCAGAGATGGCTGTGCCTCAGGGGTGGCCAAGTGCATGCAAGTCCTATCCTGGAGGCTTCATGCATCTTTTCTGCCCCCAGCTGGGCATCCATGAGGACTCAACCAACCGAAAGCGCCTTTCAGAGCTGCTGCGTTACCACACATCCCAGTCAGGTGATGAGTTGACTTCGCTTTCAGAGTATGTGTCCCATATGAAGGAGACCCAGAAGAGTATCTACTACATCACAGGTGAGCCAGAGCTCCTCTGTGCCCTAGCAACGTGGAGGCAGGTTACCTGCTGACCAGCCCTAACTTAAAGCAAATTTTTCCAGGAAGGTCCTGCTGTCTTCAGCAGGCCCTCCCTGCTGAATCACAGCCCATCCCTGGGTGCTGGGGAAAGACCACCAGGCCTAGAGCCCCAGCTGCAGCCAGTTTTATGCTAGGGGTTCCAAGTGACTATTGCTGTTAGTCCTGCTGTAACCAGCTCTTATGTCTTGGTGATATCTCATTTTTACTCCCCACAAATACAGGGGAGAGTAAGGAGCAGGTTGCCAACTCAGCCTTTGTGGAGCGTGTGCGGAAGCGTGGCTTTGAGGTGGTATACATGATGGAGCCCATTGATGAGTACTGTGTGCAGCAGCTCAAGGAGTTTGATGGCAAGACCCTGGTATCGGTCACCAAAGAGGGGCTGGAGCTGCCTGAGGATGAGGAGGAGAAAAAGAAGATGGAGGAGAGCAAGGCCAAGTTTGAGACCCTCTGCAAACTCATGAAGGAGATCCTGGACAAGAAGGTGGAGAAGGTGAGGAGGGCTGTGTGCTCTGTGATGCAGGCAAGGGCCCCAGCTCAATCAATGCAAGCCTCTCATCTCCCTCATCTCCTGCAGAGGAGCTGCTAAAGGAGACTGGAGGTCCCAGCATGCACCATCTTGCTCTAAGCAGCCAGGCTGCAGGTGAGGGGCACTGACCCAAATACATGCATTGATGGGAAAGGGTAAGTGTGGGAAACATGCAGTGGGTGCTGAAGATGCTGGCTGAGCTGTGCAAATGAGTCTGTGTAGCAGTCCTGGAGCTGCTTGGAGATCTCTGCTTGCTTTGGGGTGTCCCCAGGTGAATGTGGGGCAAAGACCTGGGGTATCATGTGCTGTGGCTGGGCCCAGTCCAGGGCATATGGGTACCTTGCTCAGCTAACCCTTGGCTACATTGGCAGGTAACGATCTCAAACCGGTTGGTCTCATCTCCCTGCTGCATAGTCACCAGCACCTATGGTTGGACAGCCAACATGGAGCGCATCATGAAGGCTCAGGCACTGCGGGACAACTCTACCATGGGCTATATGATGGCCAAGAAGCACCTGGAGATCAACCCGGACCACCCAATTGTGGAAACACTCCGCCAGAAGGCTGATGCTGACAAGAATGACAAAGCTGTCAAAGATCTGGTGGTGCTACTCTTCGAGACTGCTCTGCTGTCCTCTGGTTTCTCCCTGGAAGATCCCCAGACCCACTCCAACCGCATCTACAGGATGATCAAACTGGGGCTTGGTATGTAGCTGTCCATGCAGCTTCTCAGGCCTGGAGCAGGTCCCGAAAGCAGGTTAGCTGGTCAGGCTAGTGTGTAACTGTCTTAGGGCAGGGGGAGGCCAGTATGTGAGCCATGCTGGTGTGATGTGCAGAACTGGCTGTGTCCATAAGGTGGCTAGGGGCAAGTGGAAACCTGGAACAAGGTACTTTGTGAAGGCTCAGGGCTCTGAGTGGACTGTCCTGTCTTCCACAAGGCCAGAAGCAACCACCACCAGGCTGCTCAGATGACGAGCTGAGGGTTTTTATTTCTTAAAGGGTGAATGTCAAAAGTTTGTAATGGGAGATGTGACCAATCTGGTGAAACAACTTGTGCTTGCACCCAACTCTTTTTCTCCAAATTGGCTATTTGGCTAAAAATGTAAATCAGGAGGTGCTGTGGCTTGGCATAACTACTGGATGCTAATAGCTCTGTCCCTCAGGCTGTGGGCAGGAGCCAGCCTTTGCTCTGGGAGAGGCTGTACCTCTGGGATCAGGTATCACTTGGAGGCCTCATCTCTTCCTTTCCTCCCCTCTCCCAGGCATTGATGAAGACGAGGTGATGGCAGAGGAGCCCAGTGCAGCTATCCCTGATGAGATCCCCCCTCTGGAGGGAGATGAAGATGCATCCCACATGGAAGAGGTAGACTAAAGTAGGAGGAAGCCTCTTCCCTCACTTGCCAGACCTCTGCACCATGTTGTGTCTGCTTAGAACAGGGTCTGCTCCCACTAGCTCCTACTGACTCCTTGGTGATGTCTATGGTTTTTGATTTGTTTGTTTGGGGTTGTTTTTGGCAGGGTGCAGGAGGGCATGATGCCCTGTCTGTCAGTAGTGAATGATTCAGGCAGCCTGAGGCATGTTTGTGTCTTTCTGCTTGTGTAGGAACAGCTGATGGGGAGTGGAGGTGAGGAGTCATCAGGCTTCCCCTCTCCCCCCATGGGGTCTCCCATGTTCCCAGTAGGCATCAAACACTGCCCTTGTTCCATTGGGGTGGGAGAGCCCTTCCTCTGAGCTGCTGCCTCCCTAAACCCCCAGGGTAGGATATTGTATTTTGGTTGGCTTGGTTATTTTTTTGTTTGATTATTCTTCTGTTGTTTTGTTCGACTGGAATTAAAGTATTGAAGAATGTGATTTACATGGTGGGGTCCTTTGTGTTTCGTGCCTACCATATGGAGGAAAGGGTCTCAGCCTGTGCCTGAGGGTATCAGGCTGCTGGTCTCTCCCCTGCCCTGACTGGTTTTCAGAGCCCTGCTTTAGGTGATCTCTACCCCTTCCCTGCCCATGCACCATGAAGTGGGTAGGAGAAACACATGACCTGCTGTGCAGGTGGGGTCATCTCTAGTGGGCAGTAGTTCTCAGTGTAGGGTGCTGCATGCCCCACAGCCTGGGAACAAGACTTTTCCAATCTGCATGTGTCAGCTGGGCAAGCTGTGCCAGGACCTGAGTCTGCACTGCTGCTGGCTGGTCTGATCTGAGTGTCCCTGGAGGCAGGAGCCATCTGCTGTCTGTTCCCTTGTAGTGCAGAGCAGGGGGTGGAGTGATAGCTCTGGACTGTACTCAAGCTGCCTCTCCAGCTCTTAGGCTAAAAGGCTCTGCTCTAGACTCCTTGCTTCCCACCTCCAGACTGCCCTTTCTGGGCTTTTGCAGTCCTGGTGGGGTTTGGCAGTATATGGCCACCCCCTGGCTTTTGCCTGGGTCCCAGATGATGGGAGAAGCCTGGGGCATTACCTCTGATTCATCTGCCCTTTACACTGAGCTCACACCCCATGAGGGGAGTTTGTCACCCTTGGCCACAATGGCACTGGGGTTTGTCAGGGAAAAGTGACACCAACATCAAGTTCTCTTGCTGACTGCTTGCCAGCAACCACGGGCACAAAATGGGAGTGGGCTTTAGCCAGTATCCATCTTCAAAAGGGAAGGAGGAGGCAGAGCCTGCTGGAGTCCCTTGCTGCACATGGGGACAGTGCTGGAGTTGAGCTAGCAAATACCTTCAGGACAGTTTTTTCCTGAGACAGGAGGAAAAAAAATGTTCATAAGTAAGATTTCTCTCTGGATAGGAAGGTTTTGCCAAATAACCAGTAGAGTCAATTCTTCTTTTTAACTTAGAATGTTTGGGGGACGGGGTGGGTGGGTGTCAAAAATTTTTTCTTTAATCTACATTTAAATTAAAAAGGTATCCCATCCCAACCTGGCAGACAACCTATTTTTTTGTTTGGGTTTTTTTTTTTCAACCAAAGAAAAAAATCCATTCCATTTTCAGTCTGTCAGCAGATGGTGGGGGCAGACATTTGGGGGAATTTGTAGTGGCAGGATGAAGGGCTGTGAGGCTGCACAGGGACTTTCAAGAGCTCAGAGCTAGGAAGGGAGCACAGGTAAAAATGCTGGAGAGCTAAGTGCTCTGAAGCCTGGTGGGCTGTGCTCAGCACCAGCTGTGTTATCCCTGCTGTTATCCTCAGTACTGTGATAAGCAGCTCCAGGCCCTAGTCTCCTCTTGTAGCACTTGAGTCTCCCCTTTCTCTAACTCTGTTAGGCCAAGGTCCTGTCTCTGACCCTGGACCTCACTGTGACTAGATTGCATAGGCCTACAGACAAGGTTTTTCACCAGGCCTCCCATATGTACCAGTAGTGGGATGTACCATTGACACCCCAAGCCTCCCCTGGCTCTGGTGTGGGGCCTGTGGAGCTCATGTTGGTGCAGATGCACCCCATAAAGGATGGGCTCTTCCAGGGCTTTGCTACAGCACTGGTACCCCTGGCTGGCAGGTGCTCAGCAGGCCTCTGCACCATCTCTTTCTAGCTATGCAGGCTGTAGATACACCCACTGGGGCTGCCCAAGCTGCACTGTACAGGGAACCCAGGAGCCAAACCAGAATCGGCTTAACAGCGCCTCCATCTGCCCACCAGCATAAGCAGTGGTCCAAACCTGGCTGTGCTCCCCAGTTGTGTGCGCAAGGATTTCATGTCAGGCCTTGCAGCTCTGAGTCCAATGCTGGCTGATGATACCTGCCTAGGCAGAGGCACCTGTGTGTGTTTGGAAAGGAAAGACAGCTTTGCTGTCCCAGAGAGACTAGGGACATAGGAAGGGCCAGCAACTCCTTCCCCTCCTTCCAGGTACATGGAAAAAAAAATTAACAAGAACATTCACCTCCAGTGCACTATATGCAGCATATTTTTAATTTAATAAAATAAAAAGAGAAAAAAAATTGCCTTTCAAAAGTACTAAAACCTGCTGGTTTGTCAGTCAGGTTGTGTTGAGGAGAAAAGCATTAACCAGTAAAACCCAGGCTCGTGGGAAAAAGCAGCTTCCACTGCTCCATCCCCTGCTGCCTGGGGAGCAGGTGCCTGCTCATTCCATCCCCTGCTGCCTGGGGAGCAGTAACAAGGCACCGCAAGCAGACTCTGCCCTCTCAGCCCTCCAGGCACAGTGGGGCTCTGGCCAGGCCCCAGGAAAGCCAGGGCCAATGCCTCCAGTTGGCAGAAAGAAGAGGGGCTGTTTGTGCTTCTCTGAATGGCAACTACAAAGCCCAGAAACCGTGGCACTGAGACACCCGAGGCGATGCTGGGGCTTCTGGGCAGCGCAGCCTTTGGCCTGTGACAGCAGCAGATGTAACCAAAAAAGCAACCTAGAACAACTCAAAATCAGCCTGGGCTGAGGAGACCAAAGAAAACTGTCTCAAAGCAGGGGCAACGAGCTGATAAAACCAAACTGGGAGGTACCGCCTTTCACTGCAGTGTGCCCTCCCAGAGCAGATCCCAGGCCTAGGGTAGGACAAGCTGGGAGTCCTTCCCTTAGCTGTGCCTGTCCTACCTGGAGCACCTCCTGGGAGGGTGGCTGAGAGCTCCCCCTCTTTGGCACAGGCTCAGGACTTACCTCACGTGGAGGTGTTTCAAAAAGAAAGCTAGTGTTTTGCTTGCCCTTTCCTCCTGCCAAGCTCTGTAGCAGTGACAGAAATGGAGGAGCATTAGCCAGAGGCAAGACAGTGTCAGAGAAAAGAGCTCCCTTGTTCATCAGTGACTTCGGAGAGAAGCCACAAGAGGTGGGGCAGGAGTACCAGCAGCCCCATGCTGGTTTTCCCCCAGGATGTGAGCCGCTAGGCTGGTGCCTTGGCTGGAAGTCTTTGACCCATTAAGGCAAACGGAAAGGTTTGGAGCTGTGGCAGCCTGGAGCATTCCCTGGGCTTGTTCCAGCCCCTTCCCCAGGAAAAGCAGGTGGAAAAGCGAGTCACTGGTCCAGCCTATCCATAGCCCACCCTGCTCCTCAGCAGGTTCTGAGAAATCAAGCAAGTACCCCCGAGCGGAGGCAGGACAGCAGGCATGGCGTAAATGCCGTGGCCCCAGCTCCTTAGACCTTTTGTACAGGGGTCTCACCTGGCGGGATCTTCTTACTACGCTTCTTCATGCGGCTGCGGGCATAGACGCGGAGGAAGAGGGCCATGAAGACAACAGCTACGCCCAGCCCACCCACAACAGTGACAGTGTGCCCGTAGATGAGGCAGGAGAGGAGGATGGCAAAGGCCTGGCGCAGCGTCATGATGATGGTGAAGACGGCTGCCCCAAACTGGTTGATGGTGTAGAAGATGAAAAGCTGGCCGCAGGCGGAACACACTGAGAGCAGCACAGCATGGGCTGTAAACTCTGAGTGGCGGGCCATGAAGCGTAATGATTCCAGCAAGGCACCCTGCTCCAACAGTGAGCCCACCGTGAAGAGGCAGGAGAAGACGTTGACGCCAAACATCATCTGCACGGGAGACATCTTGTAGGTGAAGAGGGCGTCCTGCCAGTTGGACGTGAAGCTGTCGAAGATTATGTAGCCAGCCAGGAGGACTATGCCTGAGAAAGTGGTGACAGTGGACACGTGCCTGTTGGGAGCACTGGAGAGCAGAAACATGCTGACCCCCACAGAGATGAGGGCAGCAGTCAGGTACTCCCAGTACTCATAACTCTTGCGTGATACCAGTTTGCCCATCATCATCACTGGGATCACTTTGGAGGCCTTGGCCAGCACTTGGGTGGGGAAGCTGATGTATTTGAGTGCCTCATACTGGCACCAGCTACTAAGGATGTTGGAGAGGGAGGCAAAGGAGTATTTGTACATAGGAGCCCCGTGACGTGGCTGCTTGGTCAGGGCGCAGTAGAGACCAGCCACCGTGAATGCCAGGATGCGGTTCATGAACACTAGGAACTGGGAGTCCTTGAACTTCTCACCAGGGTCTGTTTCAGTGGCACCGTACGTTCTCGTCATCACACGCTCCTGGAGGACACCCCATGTGAGGTAGGAGGCCTGCAAAGCAGGAGGAGCACAGGGAGAGTCAGGACCTGCATTAGCAGCTGCAAGAAACCACGGGAAAAACAGACCCCAGGAGATCCTTGCTTGTCCCAACGTTGCCTCATCCTCTGCACGGCCAATGCTTCTCTGAGACACTGGGAGATGGGGCCACCCCCCACTCCACCCATCTGAGGGAACCCACTGTTCCCACCAGGAACATGCCGTCCCAAACAAACCCTGCTCGGTTTACAGCCTCTTCAAGGGGAGAGAAGCCTGCAAAGCAAACATCCTGGCGTACACCAAGCAGTTATGCTTTAGGCTGCCTGTTGAACCAGACCTACAGGATCAGGGAACGTTACTGATGCACAGTTGCAGTTTTGGTGCCAGCTCCCTGCAGCAGGTCCTGGCAGTTTTCCCAGTGGCCTCTGCATTGGTTTTCACTTCCAGCTCCCTAAGCCCGGTTCCTCCATCCAAATCAATTCTAGTCTCAAAACCCACCAGATGAAGTTGTTCTCCGGGGATGATTGCTGTTCTGGCTGTCACCTCTACTACTTCTGGTGCAACAGTACCAAGCCCCTCACAAAAGTAACACAGACTTCCCCTCACCACACATCCCCTCCCAAGAAACTGAGGCACAGAGAGATGGAAGGACTTGCTGGTGACCCGCAGCAAGTCTGAAAGGGCTGGCATAGTAGGCTAGAGAGTGCGTGTCTTCTGCTGGCTGTGGGATGTGTAGGTTTTTCTATCACAATGCCCACATTTCTATTTTAAGTCCTCACAGACCCAAAAAGCTGCCCTTCCTAATGATGCTCAGGCTGTAGCAGAGACTTGCGGAAACCAAGATTAAAATTTCCTGTTTATCTGTAGCTGAATTCAGTACTTCTCTCCAGTATTCAAATGCAATCCGTCAAGGCAGGATGCATCAGCCCTAGAAGGTGACCCAGAGGAGAGCCTGGGAGATAAAAGGGCTCAAACTATCTGCTGCTCTGACATGAGGGCCATAACAAGAGCAGCCCTAACAATCTGTTGAATCACAGAATTTTCCCTATCCATGGCTGCAGAGGACTGCGATCAGATGGACAGGAGGTCCCAACCCTGGTGACACCAGCTAAACAGACCTCCACAGCCCTTAGAGGTGACACAGCAGCTCTGGTGGACTATCCTGGTTGAGAGGCTGTGTCCCAGCCTCCAACCTTGCCCCAGTCAAAGACAAGCACTGCATCCTTGGTCTTCAAGGAACTGATGGCCACAAACCCACTGCCCGCCTCCTCCTCCCAGAGTGGGATGGCCACACATGCATGCACAGGGGCCCTACCTGTAGACCAGCAGCGCAGAAGAGCAGCTTGAAGACCTGTCGGGCTGTAGAGGACTCTGTGGGCTCTGCTCGGGGTGGCAGAGAGCCATCCTCCTGGTGTACAGACTTCACCTCGGAGCCGAACACGCATGATTTGATGACAGGGAAGCAAATGCCTCGGCCTGAACAGGGTAAGAGAACATGGCGACAGAATTAACCACAGCCTGGGCACCACAAGCTGCACCAGCTTGAGAGGTGAAGCCTCCCTCCTTACTAGCCTCCACATCTGCTGGCACGGGGGCCTTGGAGAACTTTCAGGGTAGCACCCAGACAGCTCTGGGATGCAGCTCTGTGAGTGGCTCAAGCCTGGTCTAATAA